GAGTTTGCATCATCTGTTGAGGAATTCATCTTCAATATCCTTTCATCCTCTCTTTGTGTTTATAGAGAAGTTTCCTTAACTCTATTTCCTAACATTTCTACTATTGTATTTCATATCAATCTTATTGCTAGTTCTTATTGAGTTAAGTTTTTATTGAATCTCATTGTTACACACACCCACTTGAGCTTATTGTATTTGCATACATAGTATATTAGGGTTGTGAGAGATTGTAACATTGAGTTGTACTTAATTGAGTTCTCATCTATTGTAGAGAACAAATTTATATTTGTTACATTGTGAGATTGTAAGATTTTCGGTGAGCTAGAAAACCGAGTGTGTTGTAAAGTTTTCGGTGAACTAGAAAACCGAGTGTGAGGAGTGAACGTTGTTCGGTGAGCGTTGAAAACCGACATAGTGTGGTTGTAAACGTTATTCGGGTGAGCGTAGAAAACCCGGTTGTGATAGTGGATTTATCCCCGGGAGTGGGGAGCGGAGACGTAGGACGGAAGGTCCGAACTCGATGATCATATCTTGTGTTTGAGTGTGCTTTGGCGTTTATTTATACTTGTGTTTATATTTCTTGTCGCCTTTGTCATTAGCTCGTTATTTATATGATCCACTATCTAGTTCATATTGTTTACCCTTGTGTTAGTTTATATATCCTTGCATATATATATATTCATCATATAGGATATATCTCATTGTTCATATTGCTTATCCTAGCTTATATAGTTGTTATATTTCATACTTGCTAGGATAACTTATATTTGGCATATAATCGGATTAGATTAGCATAAGACCCTAATCACCCCCCTCTAGGGTCTAACAATTGGTATCAGAGCTTGGTGCTCTTTGATTTAAGGTCTAATCGCCTTGAGTTAAAGATCCAAGTTATTTTTTATGCTAATCTTGTTTTGATTGCATTTGTATCTTGCTTGCATATTTTTACAAATTATGGATATGAATGATGCATCTTGTTTAGGCTATGATTCTAGTATTGCTCCTAAATTCAATGTTTTTCTTTATGCTCAATGGTGTTTTAGATTCAAAATATTTGTTCAATCTAAAAATATCGATTTATGGGAAATCATTGATTGTGCTTATATTGTACCCACGTTGGAGAAATCCAAGTGGAGCAAACATGATAAAAAGATGTTTATTATGAACAAGCTTATGTTAGAATTTTTATTAAATGCATTTGATTCATTTATGTCTAACAAGCTTGATTCTTTTGATAGCGCTTATACATTATGGAAATTCATAGAAGCGCATATCTGTGTATCAAACAAAAATTCACTATTACAAATTACAGCCATGTGTCACATATAAACAACAAATGTCACAAGCAAAAGCAAAATATCACAGCACACAGCTAAGAGTCACATATAATGGTGTATTGCCACATGAGACAAGTAAAGGTCACACGTAACAGACGAACGTCGCATATAAAAGCATAATATGATATTTAATAACTCAGATTCATAGAAAATGACTGATATTTAATGTACCTTATACTAGGAAATACAGAATTTGCCCAATTATTTAGACCATAACTTAGAGCTACTTGGTAAGCTCTTTGATCCATCATCCTAATCTCATGTAAAACAGCTTTAAATTCTCTTTCCGTGTACTTGTATGCAGCAAACTCCAACAATTTTAAAATACGTTACGCAGCACTTAAGACAAAACTCATCTCTCTAAGCTTCAATTTATAATTCTCAACAAGATGAAGTACACATCTAGAGTGGTACGTATCTGGAAATATATCTTTTAAAGATTGTTTTATTCCTTTGTCGGCATCTGACAAAATTACTAGAGAATGGGGTGGATTGTATGGTTCTGTTTAATTGTACAAAATATACTGCAATCCTTGAATAAACCAACTCCAATTCGCTTCATGTTCTTGGTCACTAACGCAAAATGCGAGTGGAAATATGCCTTGATTACCATCATAAGCAGTTACACCTAATAAGATCCCTTTGTAGTGATCTTTCAGAAAAGTTCCATCTAGAAAGAGCAATGGCGCCTACATCCCTTGAGAAACCCATGTATGCATGCACCATAGGATACAAATAAATGTTTGAATCTCCTTTCTTCTTATTCAATGATGAAGACACTGCCTGGCCTGGGCTTATTTCCATCACCTTCATTTGGTACCTTAAAATGATGGTTAAAAGGAAAAATAACTTGTTAAATAATGAACAAGATCTAACTATCACATGTAATACTCAAACGTCACAAATTAGGTCTAAATATCACATATAAGGGCGAACTGTCACATGTAGGATTTAATTGTCACATATAACATTGAAACATCACATGATACACGTATTTGTCACATAACGTTCTAACATGTCACATTTACGGTTAACTGTGATACATATAGTTTTAAAGGAGACATCAACAAATTAATGGACTAACCAGGATAGTAAATCATATGAATGCCTTGCGCAATCAAATATTTCGTCTTTTGCTGTCTCCTTAGCATGCCAAGCTTTAGAATAATTAACTTTTAAGCCATATTGAAAGTGTAATTCCTTACTAATGTCAGTTGGGGTAATATATGGACGTTTCTTCATAATTGATTGTAGCATAATCACAATCCACCATCTTGATGCTCTAGAGTGACCAGGTGTGCTATTATGTTTTCCACAAGTATGTTGAGGAACAATTTTTTTTTGTAACAAAGGTCGACACATGACTCAAATAGTGAAGCGAAAAGCAACCACAGGAATTTTGTTTTTTTTCTGAACATGCAACTAGCAGGAATACGTTTTGGCTCATTGTTAACATATTTAAAAGCGAACTTCTTAGATATAGAGTAGTATATAAGAGCCATTCTAACTTCTTTTGCGCTTTCAAATTGCTGCCCTTTTTCAGTAATTGCCTCGTGCCACCATGCTGGGATCCGTGACGAGTCACTTACTACATTGTTCATCATCCACACATGCTCTCCTTGAGGATTGTCGTTTGGGTTGCTCTCTGATTCCTCGGTTGAGATCTTCTCATAAGGTTCCTCGATATGCTCCGGTGAGTGTGAGCTTACATTAGGAACACTACAAGTTGAATGTAACATACATATAAGTCACGTGTGATAATCACCAGTAAAGCTACATATAAGACGTAAATATCACAAATAAAGTTAATATGTCACAAATAAAGTCAATATGTCATGTTGGATGTCTTCAGGTCACATAAATGACGTAAATATCACAGTTCTCGTTATAATGTGTATCAAGAACCGGAAAATATACTTTTGAATACTTACTTAAGCTCTGTTTTTATCCCTATGGCATGTGTGGATAATTCATCTCTTTTAGTAACAGTCATAGCTATCGTACTTTACCCTATTGAATGATGATAATCTATCATGTTGAGAATATCTTCATCTTTTAAAAGCTCAAACGAGACATTGGGAAACTTCTCGAGAAAGTAACTTATCAACAAACTTTCGTACGGTACTCTAAAGTTCTCTGCAGCTTGCATCTTCAATTCAACTAAACTTGTTGCATAATTGACTTTAATGAGGGTTGCATTAGTGTTAAATGAAATCACACACATTAAATAATCTTCCATCTTGGTTGTTGAAGAAGTTAAGATGAAAAAGTTAAGAATATTTTGGTGTTGAAGGTTGTTGAAGATCTTATGAACAGATCTAAAGAAGGAAGAAGATATTACATTGAGATGAGATATTATTTTGGAGGGAACTTTGTAGATTTCCCTCCAATTTTTTCCTTTCCCTCCAAAAAATCCTCTCCAGCCATAACCCCAATCGGAAGTGACCTCCAACTTTATGATGGCATGATATACTGACCAATAAGACAAAATACTTTACACCCTCCACAAATGGGTACAAAAAGTAAAATGGGCAATACTTAAAAATACACTATAAAGTACATATACAATGTTGGGCTAGGGGTGTTTTAGCAGTAAAATGGGCAATACTTAAAAATACACTATAAAGTACATATACAATGTTGGGCTAGGGGTGTTTTAGCATGAAAACTTGGGTCAAAGAGCTTACAAGATAAAGTACATATACAATGTTGGGCTAGGGGTGTTTTAGCATGAAAACTTGGGTCAAAGAGCTTACAAGGGGTTGACTCTAGTTTGGGGAGGAGGGTGCATAGCCCAAGTTTTTTTAGTTCCTCCAAGCAATTTTCCCAATAATCTATATCGTAATAGTTGCATTGAAAGAATATATATCCCCTCTATATTTTTTAAAAAAACATATTCTTTGTAATACTATTGGACGTCTGACCGTTATAGAGAGCCATAACGTATCGAATTCTGAAACACGTTGTCTGGCTGGGATGGATTGATGAGCTCTTCATTTTAGCGAATGCGATAACTTACTATTGAAAAGAAGTTCTTATGTCCAAGAAAATTTTATTAATTGGTGGGCTTTTCCTTTTGGATAATAAACTGTAATACACTAGAAGTAGATTAACAACCCCACATCACCCATAAACAGCAAAGACACATCAACGCAAAGTATGATTAAAAGAAATTCAAGTCTGGGTTACTCCCACATGAACATGAACACGTATAATTAAATGACTTTACATCTGAGATTCAATTAGGAAATTGAAACAACTGAATTTGGATCTTAATTACATCTCCTAATTGATCAGGCTTCAAACAAGTCACCAAATTTCTTACCATATATATTACTAGTTGCAAGGAAAGGTAAAAGTCTATATTCATACAGTTCGAACCTAATTTCGCTTAATTTCCCTAGCCCAAGCTTTGATACATTTATATATATATCGGACTTCAGATTTCTAAGTTTTTACCCACAAGCAAAATGACACCATGCCCGCAATGCCACAACAACAAAAAAAAAGGAAAAAAGAACAAGTTGGTCCTAGTTATTTTGAAGATTATTAATCACTTGTAACTATGTCATTAAAACACTTAAAAATTAAGATGCAATTAAGATGCTCACCAACTCTCTTTAACAACTACCAGCAAGGAGAGAACGTCACTTGAAAATCATGTAAAAATAAAATAAAATGCTCCGATATTTCCCCTCAGGGCAGAAGCAAGCATCACTACCATTTGAGATTCTTTACTGAAATGTGATACTGATACAAGAGAAAAGAGTTTATTCCAATTGTAACATCTGATGATTTAACTTCCCGCAAAACCCTTAAAATTTGGGTCTCACATACGTACCGGCTCAATCAACAAGGACCATAACAGTACCAGAGTACATCTTGCATTACATCAATGCAAGCTACAAATATAAACTGCTTGAACAGGTTACATAAAACTATAATGAGATCCCCCTCAGAGCAACGCCTGCAAAAAGCTCGATCAACTAGCACAATATGCTTCAGGGAGGTACACAAGGAACGGATACTGAGAGAAAAGAAGAATAATGTCAAACACCACATGAAATAGAATTGTTATTGAAATTTAACATTGCATTCATTTCCAAATAACTGAATAACAGAGCAGTAATTATCCACCAGGTACACAATAACCAGGACAAGTAACCTAAACCTATTCAATATTTTTAAGAAAGCCCCTTTTGGTTTGTGTGCCACATTTTTAGGATCCCGAAAATGTCATTCAGAAAAGACTATGGAAATATCCTCACACTTGGGAAAAAAAATTCAACAGAAACGTCCTCACACTTGGAGAAGTCCCAAAAAACCTAACAAATCACCCGTTTCTATTTCATGGGCAGACATCGCGCTGGGTACTAGTATATACAAAAAGAAATTTTTAATATACTTACATCTCAGACACACAAATATAACATGCAAACAAAAAACAGTCCATTGGTGCACTGCCAGTTGAAACCAAACAAATTTAGGCGATTACACAATAGTGGTTAGCTTGCTGAAGGCAAGTCAAAGACGTTTGTTCTCAGCTATAAATCATATATTGCAAGTCATAGAACAAATAGCATGGAATAGCCATAATGACCTTAACCAACAACATAGTAACGCCATAGAGATACTAACAAATACACAACATTCCATTGTGCCAGTCATCTTTTAGACCTTTATTTTAACAAATTATCTTTAAGATGATTGATTGGCTTCATTGAAACATTCAGTGAACAGCAGCTCATTGCTGCAATTTAGATCAGTATATGATTAAGAAAAGTGGGAAGCAAAAGAGATAGTGATAAATAAATAGAAGAGAACATCACAGAATTAACTTGTTAAATAGAATAAAAAGAATAAATGAAGGTGATGCAAAATGACAACTCACTAGCATTGCAAACACTAGAAAGTTCGGAGCATATGGGAGAAGCAAGAATCGTGTAAGACTACATGAAGTCTAAGGTGAAACGTTGCTGCAACTAATCCTTATAACATAGTAGTTTGAATTTCTAAAGATGAAGCATGCCGACAAGATCCACCTGAAGTGTACGCATAAACAATTTAGAAAATCATTTAGACAAGCATAACCTATTAGTTCATATTAGAGTATAAAATTATAACCCTTGAACCTCTCCACAACACCTTTGAACCTCCCCACAACACCCTTGAACCTCCCCACAACATCGGGGTTTTGGGTAGTGGCAGAGACTTTAAGGTATCAGAGCAACCCAAGTTCGAATCTTACCAACACGAGTTTCTAAAGGGGATTAAAAGAATACTACTTTGTGAGAACAAATTTCTGCAGAAGGGCCCTCAGCCAGCGGGGGCCATGTTAGAGTGAAAAATTATAATCCTCAGCACTCATCACAACATTGGAGTTTTGGAGCGGGGACAAGAACCTTTGATGAACTTTACCCCACCATTTACACCTTGATTCCCATTTACACAATCACTTATGCACAGTATAGTCAAAGCAAAGATAACTATAAGAAAAATTAAAACGTTGGTGTACTGACTTATAATAGATCTCTTCCAATGCGAAAGTCAAAAAAATATTTTTATCTACCAATAACACCAAATTGGTGTATTACTGAACAACAGAAGTTTGACACTGCAGTCGATATAGATCCCTTAAATCAACTTGTATCACTTCAATAACATTTAATATTGGATATTTCCCATGACTCATCAATCTCGTTGATACGATCATGTCTATCTGTTTGCATGTTCAGTGGAGGATATTGATTGTTGATGTTTATTTATGAATTTCTCTAATGAGTTGATTCCAACTACATTACAATTTTCAGTACAAGTAAAGATACTAAGTTGATTTAAAGCAGTCACGACTCTTACTGGTTATTAATGTCACTTTTAAATTGTAGAAGAGTGAAATATGACTGAGACTTTTCCAATGTATCATAATTTGTTAAGCTTACTTTTGGCAGTCGAGATAATTTTAAATGTCTTGTGTAAATACTGGGCATACAGTCACAGTACCGGAAACATAGAGATCTTGTACTCAAATTGGGACCAATTAATCCTCAGTGCTACAGAGGTTTATATGACATCTACTTTATTTTGTTTTCCCTTCCTCCATGAAGTTCCAATTTTTGTGATGCTTTGATTGACCTGCAATGAAACATTGCATCTCAGGGAAGCCTAATAGAACAGCACAGTTTTAAACACGATAACTCAAAGGGTTGATCTTATTAGGTCTTGTTTAAAAATGATAACAAATAGACACCTTGTTTTCCATCTTGATAAGCTATTGGAACCATCAAGAAGATTATTGAGAAGTATATTGTTCAATCGTTGTTAATTTGCCTACGTGCATAAATGCAAGGCAATTAAAGTGAGGTGCACTTTTTTTCCTCATGAAAATTTAAATTACATTTAATTCATATACTTAGTTTCTCAGTCTACTTTGTCTTATTTGAATTAGCTTATTCTCCTATCTCATTTTTCAGGTTAAATGAAAGAAAGATGCTCACTGCGTCCCTGCAGTGGTTATCAACTCCAGTTACTGTTCGAAGCAGTGAATGGGCAGTGATGCTATGTGTGTAGTCAGAGGCTGAGAATCTTAGATGACAAGAACTGAAGACTTGAGAATGAGAAAATAAATAAATAAATAAAGAACTATCGGGAAAGGACCGCAGTGAATTGGCAAGATGTTGCATCCTATGGCGAGCTATACTATTAAAGTTAAGTTTGTGAATTCTAGATCTTTCATACTTTAAAGCTTCAATCTGCTTCTACTTTAAAAAGTTGTTGCATCCTGTGTTCGTTAACTTGAAATGTTAGAAAATTTTACTCTATTAATAAATAAATATAATTCATTTATCTAAAAACAATCATCATGAGTTTAGGATCTTAAACAAAAATATTCATTAAAAAAAAGAAGAAACATACCAGATGTTGAATAGGATGTCATCCTATTCATAGATTTCTTCCCCTTGTCCCTTCCTTAATATCACAGAAAGTGGTTGATGAATGTTTTCATATAGAAAGACATCCATAATAGATCACAAGGTTTGTCAGGATTATCTCAGGAATGCTATATTGAAAGAATTTTAGAGAGATTTCATATGGAAAATGCTCAGCTGGAGTTGTTCCAATATAGAAAGGAGACAATTTTAGTCTGATGCAATATCCAAAGAATGATGTAGAAGGTAAACAAATGGAAACAATTCCATATGCTTCTGTTGTGAGCAGTATAATGTATCTGCAAACCTGTACAAGACCGGATATAAGCTTCGTGGTTGCGTTGTTGGGTTGTTAGGCAGGTGTCAAAGTAATCCCGGAATTGATTATTGAAAAGCAATGAAGTACTTATTGAGGTACCTACAAGGGATAAAAAATTACATGCTCATATATAAAACTAATCCAACCATTTAGAAGTGATTGGGTACTCATAATCAATGTTATAGAAAGCGCTAGGTGGCTTAGGCGTTAAACCTGATGCCTAGAGCCTAGACGCCTAGGCGGAAGCCTAGGCGGGGCCTAGGTGTTTTTTTAGTTTTTAATTATAATTACCTATAGTAAATGCCAATATTATAGAAAGCTTAAGTGGTGGCGGAGAATGTTTTGTTGAAGGACGGGAGAGGTAGAGGTGTTCATAGTTGGTGTTTGGAGGAGGTTGGAGGACGTGGAGGCTGTAATGGAGAAAATCATGATCAATACCTAAATGGTGCAGACCACGTAGACATACCACGTTTCCTTAGGCGCTTTCAAAACTTAGACAATCCACCTGGGCCCCTAGGTACTAGGCGCCAGATAAGCGGCTAAGGTACCGTCTAGGTTTAGGCGTAAACCTAGGCAAGCTAGGCAGACGATTTTTAAAATATTGCTCAGAATCAGATTTTGATGGATGTCTTGACAGCAAAAAAATCCACTTTTGGTTATCTGTTCTTATTAGCAGGAGCAATATCATGAAAAAGTGCAAAGCAATCGATTATTGCTTCATCTACTACAGAATCAGAGTTTATAGCATGTTTTGAAGCTACAATTCATGCATTATGGCTGCGGAACTTTAGTTTAGAAATTGGGGTTGTCGACACCATTACCAAGCCACTAAAAATTTTCTATCTCTGTGCAGTATTCTTCTTCAAGAATGACAAATACTCAAGAGGTTTCAAACATATGGAATTTGAGTATTTTGTTGTCTATTCAACATATTAATACTAATCTCATAATAGCAGATCCTCTAACTAAAGGTTTACAACCAAATGAATTTAAGGGACATGTATAGAATGGGTCTTGGTTGTGCTTATGAATGATAATAATGATGTTGACACCCTGAGCTCAATGATGTGTTTCTGATATATATTATTATATTTCCTGTCACTCATAATCATGAGCATAATTTGTGTTTGAGTTGATTATGAAAGAAAGCCCTTGTAAGACATTATCATGGACCATGACAAAAATAAATATATCACTTATAGATCAATGTGGTTAGTTGTTAATGTTGCGGTATACGGAAGTATATTACATAAATATATATACAACTGCTATAACTCGCACTTATTAATTTATCATATTATGATAATTCCATTGAACATTATAGAAGAGGATGTGTTCCTTGTAATAAGTGTTTAACTGTTTATACTATTAAGTGCTAACTGATCGGCCAAGTGGGAGAATGTAAGAATATGGCTCTAGTTATTATTTAGTCTCATACACTTCTTTATTATATCAAAGTTTTGAGTTTTGAGTATTTTAATGATGTTGAATTTATAGGACTAAATACTCATGATAATTAAAGTTTTTAATATAGTCAATTTTTTAATAGTTTAGTTAAGGAACATATCTCTCAAGTTAATTCTTCGGTCTCTTAATGGACGAGCCGAGATGAAGGAAAGTGTATTTCTAGGTGCTCTTCCTACCCATAAAGTAGTACGTGAAAAACATCAATCAAACACTTTCTATAATATAAAAAAAGGGATAAGAAGAAACCTATGAATAGAATGACATCCTCAAAATCTGGTATGTTTCTCGTTATGTTTGATGGATGCATTTCATATAATGCTTTATAGGTAGGGAGAGGATCTATAAATATATGTTCCTTCATCTCAGTTCATTCGTCAAGAGACCGAAGAATTAAACGAACCTTGAGAAATTTGTTCTTTAATTAAACTATTAAAATATTGACCATATTAAAAACTTTAATCATCCATGAGTATTTAATCCTATTAATTTAATGTTATTAAAATACTCAAAACATTGACATAATAAAGAAATGCATGACTAAATAATAACTAGGGCCATATTCTTAAATTCTCCCATTTGGCTTGAAGGGCTAGCACTTAATAGTATTAATGATTAAAACCTATTATAGGAAATAAATTCTCTTTTGTAATGTTAAGCATAATCACCACAATATGATAAAGTGTTGAATGCAATTATGGCGGTTGTATGTATTCATTATTCAGTGCCATTAAAATACTCAAAACTTTATTATAGGCAATGTTTAATAGTTTAATTAAGGAACAAATCTCTCAAGGTTCATTTAATTCTTCAGGCCTTTCGATGGACGAACAGAGATGAAGGAAATTGTATTTATAAGTATCTTCCTACCCATAAAGTATTATATGAAAAACATCCATCAAACATTTTCTGTAATATAAAGAAAGAGATAAGGGGAAGAAACCTATGAATAGGATAACATACTCAACATCCGGTATGTTTCTTCTTTATTATTTTAAAATATATGTGTTTAAGATCCTAACCTCAGATGTGTGTTTATAGATAAATAAGTAATATTTATTTATGCATAATGAAGAGTTCTAACGTTGGGTATCAACAAAAACATAAAAAAAGGACTCTTATTCCGGATACATCCAGTAAGTCCATGCATCACTATTGTGGATTATTGAATTAAATAATCTAACAATAGATGTGAATCTACCGTCATACACTGGTTCCGATACATAGCACCATCGGATCAACGAGATCGAGTCATCGTAAAAATATGGAATCAAAAAATTACAATGCTACATAACAAGACAATATTTACGAGGTTTAGCCCAATTCTTTGACCTACATACTCTAATGGTGGAGAGATATTCACTATGAAAAATAGACAAGTACAAGGACTCAAAACTCTCTAATCCTCACACTTTTTTCTCTCTATTTTTCCTCTCTTTTTCTCGCACACACACTCTCACTTTTATTTTTCATGCTCTCATCAAAAGCAACAGCAACAAATTCTTTATATATGATTGTACTTTGACTAACTTAGTAAATTGCATAATCCAGTGTTTTCAATGCGCAAAGCGCAATGCGTGGCGCAAAGCATCTTTACGCGCACATGCGCAAGGCGTAACGCGATGCACGCGCCCGAGTGATGCGAAGCGCACACCACACATATAATATTTCAATATATGTAATCAAGCGCGAAAGAACATGTTTTTCGAATTTACATGAAAAATATCATGATAAATAATATCTTGCTACAAAATCACAATATATTACCATAATTTCTAATGCTAACACCCAACATAGTAGCAAATTTTATCAATTTTTAAATCAAATGTTAAATCAAGACTTATATCCAAACTAAGGATTAGTAATGGTCCTCAATTGAAAGTTATTAAAAAAACCCAATGGATTTATTTTGCTTTTTGGGATATGGAATATCAAGTATAAAGACTCGATTGAAATGTTAACAAATAAAACTACATGAGGAAATGTACTACATGCATCCTACACAAAGTACAGATGTACGCGAGGCGCAAAAAGCGCTGCTGCATCAGATGTGAGGCGCTTTGCCATCGCCCCGCATTGTAAGGCGCATGAGGCGCAATGAGGCGCGCGCCTTTGAAAACACTGGCATAATCAATATGCAACTATTTAATGCATCTTAACTCTTACAAGTAAATGAATTAAGACACATTAACACCAATAATAACTGATAACACATGCAAGGAGTTGAGCTTAGTCTCTCATGCATGCCTATTTTATTGTGGTAATAGGGAACAAATTTGTATCCTCTCATTGCTTTCATCTAGTTACAGCTCTAATGCTAGGGTTGCGAAAGCCATGTAGGAATTATTTTAGTGTTGGAGGTTTGAGAATGTAAGTTGAAAGAAGAGGCTATGTGGAACTTGAAAATAGAGAATCTTGGTATTCAATTACTTTGAATTGTTATATACGATGCTCACATCCAAGACTTATTTATCGGCTCCCAAGAATTTCTCTAGAGCTTAGGTATTTTCATGATACATTGAAGCTTCTAGAGAAATTTATATACTTCTTACATTTTAGATGCATCTACTGATTAACATCTCTTTATTCTCTAGTTGTATCTAGAACTTTCTATATTACAAAGATTATGATAGACAATTCTAGATAATTCTAGAACTATAGCTTACTTCTTAACATTCCCTTCTAGATAATTCTAGAACTTTCTAAACTTGTCTCTAAACTGTATGAACTTTCCCGTGGGCTTAAAACATGAGAATCAAACTTTGTAACTGAGTTCAATTTCCTCATCTTCGCTACTACAAATTTCTTTTAACATTTTACCTTATGCTCTAACCTAGCATTTTATAAATTCCTTACTCTAATCTACATCAGTTGGAGAGAATTGGACATGATTAATTATGACTTCTAATAAAACCACTAGTACCTTATCAAGAGAAAACGATTGCACCATATTTTTTCTTATCCTCCATGTTAAAAGCAACAACTACTTTCTCTTTGGTTCTTGCCTAGTATAAATTGCTCTAAAGAATCTCTATATATATTTCACCGAAGGACTAGTTGGTCTGATAGATCATATGAAAATGTTTCCATGAAGAAGTTGCATGAGATGAAAACTAGACTAATGATGTTAAAGATGACTGATGTCACTTTCGGTCATAGAGGATCTGAAGGATATGATGCGGTTATTTCATGTTGGTGGGATATATTAGTTCTATTGAAAGTCATAATCAATCACGTCAAGTTATTTGTGACTGATATAATAAACTAGTAATATAAAATCTATAAAATGCTTTGGCATGAAGTAAATTGTTAAAAGATATTTGTAGTAATGAAGAGGATGAAATTGAACTCATTTATGCAGTTCAACTCATATGTTTCGGGGTCACCGAAAAACTCATACAGTTCAAAGGCACTAAAATTTTCAAATTAAGAAGAGGTATTCGAAGTAACTTATAATTCTAGAATTATCTAAAAATGCCTACAATAATCTTGTAATATGTAAAGATCCATAATAAGCTAAAGAATAAAGATATGCTAACCATAAAATATATCTACAAGATAAGAAGTATAGATTTCTCTAGAAGTTTTAAGGTATCATGAATATGTCTAAGCTCTGGAGAAATCCTTAG